CTGGGACTCAGGGACCACATCTACATAAGCGGCAGACTGTGCGCTTGTTACTGTGCACTCATTTAGTACTTGCTTATGCAAATTATAACTTGAACTTGTTATTTAGTACTTATGCAAGTACTAAATGACGTGCAGTAACTGGCATTACTGTGCAGTACCGTCACCATACATTTTTTTCCTGACATTACTGCACAGTAGCAACAAGCTACTGAGCAGTAAGCTCCTTACTACTGTGTAGTATTGTCACTGCACGGTTAGTGCCCAGCAATCCTACTGCATGGTAGCAATGAACTACCATGCATCCAGGAGCTAGGCCTTGTACTCCCAGTTCTGCCCTTGATTTGGTGTGTGACCTTGCATGCTCTTTGGAGCAGGGACTGCCTTTCACTGTGTGTATGTACAGAACTGAGTACATCTAGCCCCAGACTCAGCTGGGCTGCTTCTTGGAACTACTCTAGGGAGACAGATGATGTGGCAATGAGCATGGTCGTGACTGAGAGCAGCATAGTGGAAGGATAGGTCTTGGCTGCTCTGGCAGCATGTTAGTGAGGGCAGTCCTAGCCACGTGGACAGTGCTGTTTTTGCTTTGACAGTGTTTTGTCCCCATAGTAGTGTTTGTGTGGTAGACGTCACCTTTCTCCTTTTTCTCACACAAGTTGTGGTGTGAATGTGCATGCGCTACACTAGAAGGAAACAACAAGCCCACGTCATGTGTTTTCGGTTTCTCTGTTTCCTTGGCTTTCTCGGCACATGCTACATACATGCAGCATCAGCACATTTTCCGTTTGCTGCAAACAGAGCAGGTGGCTGGCTTCCATGTGCACGACCAAAACAAACATGTCAACAAATATTTTGTGAACTCACCTACGTGGACTTGATGGTTTCTAGAACCTTTCTTGATGGTTTGTAGAGGCAGCTCAGTGCTGAGTGCCAGACTCCTCTAAGTGAAGACTCCTCTGAGCACAGAAGACCTGCACTTAGAGTTGGGCCTGACTGAGTGCCGTGAGGCAGGCAGCTCCCATGATGCCTGCCAGAGACTCCTGGCAAGAATGGAGTTCTCTGAGGATACTCCTTCCTCTGGGAAGGACGGGGTATCAGGCAGGGAGACCAGCAGGGTATAGCAGGGCATATGGACACTGGCTGCTCAGCTTGGTGCCATCAAGGTGTAGTTTCTGGGTTGGAGTTTTCTTTGGTCTATCTTTTTTTGCTGGGGTTCACACATGGGAATGGAGTCCTGCTCTGCTCTGCTCTGCTCTGCTCTGCTCTGCTAGGGTCTGGTCTGTCTTGGGCCTCAGGGCTGGACTAAATGGGACTCTGTGGGCTTCTCCAGCTGTGACCTCTGGCTTCAAAAAGTCCAACCAGCTGTGGATACTGCCAAGGCGGGTAAGCAGGGTACTGCGAGGCTCTCACAGCCCCGACGCTGGGGTGCCCAGCTCCCCTGGGACCCAGGCAGCTCAGCCCTAGCTCAGGGAAGCCTCCCAGCTGCCTTGGGAAAGGATCTCTCCTCAGTGGCTGGCTGTCCCCTCTGCTCTGCCGGGCAGCTCAGGAATAGCAGCTGGCCCAGCTCCCCCACCCCCGTGGCCCAGATCTCTAAGAATGGAGGTGACCGCGTAGCAGCATCAGGCGCTGCATTTAGCCATGAGCTCAGGCAGTGGCAGGGCTGCCAGCAGGACTCCATCCAGCCCAGTGTGGTGACGCTCTCCTTGGAGACTGTGCTGTAGGCTGTTTGTTGCCGTAAACAGACTCGCTACACCAGCTTCCCTGTTACTATCTATAGCGATCTCTTGGCTCCACAGCAAGGCGAGTCTGCGGTCTGGCTCCCGGCTGAGCCTGACCTGAGCCAGGCCTGCCTGACATCCCCACTGTGGGTGGGTGTCTTGGGCCTGCCCTGCAACAAACAAGGATCAAAACAAAGGGGAGGGGACAGAGGTTTCCTTGGCCATGTCCTCACAGTCCCTTCGCCTTCCTGGATCCCATTCAGCTTTCTGGGGAGTTCCCCTGAGAAGCCCAGCCTGTAGCACTCCACCCCCCTACCCCAGTGCCCTATACTGGAGTCTTCCCTCTCAGCTATTATTGTGCCTAGATAGTAAGAACATAAGTAATCACACCTGAGTGTAATTTCCTTCCCCCCGCAGGAAGTGGAGTAAGTTCCAGGTTCTGTCCACACGTGCTTTCTGCCATACTCCAGCCAGATCTGTGCAGAGCAAACCGTCTGTGCCAGCCACCCAGATTTATTAACAAGGAATGTGCACGTGCCTTCCATGAGTGATCCCCACCTGCCCTCACAGCAAACCTTCCTGGGTTTTTATTGGGTTTTTTTAGCTTAGGTTGTTGGATTTTAGGGTGTAATGAAAATCGGTTTAAACATAGAACTCAATGGGGAAATGATGTGGCTTCTCCTGCATTCACACAGACTGGAGCTGCTGCTTGCATGGATACTACACATTGCTCTTCTAAGGGGTGTAGGTGAAGGGATA